GATATTAAGTGACAGATTTATTGAGTACACTGAAATAAATATCAATATGGAATTTGGTTTAACCATTGGAAGCGAGCTGATAGTTGTTTGAGTTACAATAATTAAGTTAATCATAGCAATTAACTGTTAAAACTAACAATAACTACCCTTTTAAAAAGCTCTGTTTATAATTTTTTTTCCTATGAACTCATAGTTGATTTGATTTTCTTTTATATTTGAACTTAATTGTCCTTATTAAAATTTAACGAAAAAAAAGTATACTTTTTAATTTATTAATTTATTAATTTGACGTTTTTTATGTAATGTTTTTGGATAGTGAAAATCACCACGCCGCACGTGCATAATGACAAATTTTCTTCTCCGAGGAACTACAATGCTTATAACTCCCAAACGGACATCAAAACAAGTTGTTGTCTCTCTCAATTGGTGCCACAGTCAAGAACTTTCCTAGGAGTGAACGGTAGTTATAGTTATTTAAGTACCCCGCGATAAGATTCTTCACCAAGGCTTGTCTTGGTTTCTACGTGTAAGTACCACTAGCGATACTAATTTGTTTTTGTTTTCCTAGATAACATCTACACTCTCACCCATCAACACCAATCTTCTGCTCTTTATAAGCGCTTGAAAGCATGAGCTTCAAAGCTTCCAAGCTACGTCTACATACCTGCAAGAAAAGAAAAGGTACGAGTCAGAAGAGGAGAAGAAAGAACAGAGAATGGCCGCTGGAGCAGCTGAGATATTGCTTCAGTGTCTCTTTCATGGAAGCATATCAATGCACGACTTGGAAATTCAGCGAAGACCATACCATCGTGGCTGCAAGTGTGCATTACACAAGTTAGACAGCCTTTGTCCTAACGCTTGTTATTCTTTACACAGAACTATATCATTTCCCAAGAAACAGGCTTGGACAGATTGTTCTTTGTCCATAGTAGCTTCCTTCTCTTACTTCTCCTTGCAGTGATTTAACAGAAAAAGAACTGACTAGGCCCATTTGAAAGTCTTACCAAGTAGACAATCAAAGCTATATATCAAAGACTTGATATAGAAAAAGGTTAGGATCTGAGAAGCTTTTTTGCTTACTTGTTTCTCTATTTCTAGTCCTTTGGTACTGTACCATGGGATAATTTCAAAATCCCGAATGAATAAGGCTCTTTGGTTTGGTATGAATGAGGAGATTTACTAAATTAAGTGAGACTGGAAATGAGATTCCAGCCACACTGGGACTGAGACACGGCCCAGACTCCTACGGGTTCCTAATAAAAAAGCAGTTTTTGTAACTGGAATATGTTTTGTTAAACCTTCGGAATGGAAAAGAGCAGAAAAGAGAGAAAAGGGGGGGGGGGCTTATACGCAGGAGTAATGTAGACAATTTTCTTCATTTATTATTGAATGCTGGTGAATATTAATATTTTTTACGGCAATGAGACTGCTAGGGATATGAAGATTAAAGAAAAGTATATTAGAGAAAGGTATATAGGTATAGTGGTGCTTGTGAGTATATTCTTTTGTTTGCTTAATTCATTTTGATTGTGTCATCTAGTTGTTCTAGTCGCTTCTGGTTACTGTACCATGGGATAATTTGCAAAATCCGAAATGTATGAATAAGTGGCTCTATTGGTTTGGTATGACTATGAGGAGATATTAGCTAAATTCTAAGTTGAGACTGGAAATGAAGAATTCGTGAGAGCCGACAATAAACTGGACTGAAAGACACGAAGGCCCAGACAATACCTACGGGTTCCTAATAAAAAACGCAGGTTTTTAGAACTGGAATATTGTTCTTGATTAGAACCTTGCGGAAATTGTCGAAAAAGGAGTGCATGCATAACAGAGAGAAAATAGGGGTGGGGGGGTTTTGGTGGGATTAATATGCCTTTGATGACAATGCTTGTAATGGTAGGCATTTTTTGGAGGTAATAATCTAACGCCAAATGAGTAAATTTCTTCTGGGTTCTAAGTGTAAATGCGGATGCTTAATGTCTTTCTGAATATTGGCCTTTGAGGACTGATAGCACTTTTGGCCTTTTCCTTGTCTCTATTTTGTTTATTGTTGGGATTGGGGGGGGGGGGGGTTGCCTTAGGCTGCTGTATAGCATTTTTTAGTACACCCATGTAAATTCTTCTGTTTCTAATGTAAATGCCATTTAATGCTTTCTAATATTGGCCTTTGAGACTGATAGCACCTTTTGGCCTTTTTCCTTGTTCTCTATTTTTATTGTGGGATTGGTGGTGGTTTCCTCAATGTTATAATTTGAACACCGTAGAAATCATACGCATTGAATGCAAAATAATTTTCATTTACATCAAAGATGTTAGAGGTTGGGGAACAGAAAATTTAGAAACAAGGAAAAACTATTAATGCTTAAAGGATAATCAAACTTTTTTTTCCTATGAATTATGAACTACTGTAGTTATTAAAGATGATTATTTCTTAATTTATATTCAAAGTAACTCACAACATCATGAACTTTTCTTTCCTAGTTAAAAAGTCCCGCATGATTACAAATAACAAAGTACTAAAAGTTAAAATTTAGAACAAAGAAATTCTTTAAAACAAGATCCTAGTATGAGATCAAAACAGTTGCTAACTAAAATGCAATAAACAAGTTCAGCTTTTCCAAGGAGTTAGTTAAAAGGTATTTGTCCAGATTAATCTTTGCTAAGCACCAGATGCAACTACGTAGTTGAAACCAAGCAGAACGAGCCAAGCCTTTCCTTAAATTCCTATGTCTCTATACCTCTTTTAAAACAAATCTTGGAATGGTCAATCCTCAAGAATCAGACAAGCCTAGGAACAAAAGATTGTCTTACTAGCTAGCAGTCCACTCTATAAAAATGCATCAGAAAACAGGTATTAAGTACCTTGGACATGTTCAAAAGAACACAGACTGACCTTCAAAAACGACTATAGAAAAAGAAAGAAGAAAATGTCAATTACAGCAGCTGAGATAATGCTCTGTGCTGTCTTTGATGGGTGCATATCAATGCATGATTTGGAGATTGAGCGAAGACCATATCATCGTAACTGTGAGTGCGAAATGCACAAGTTAAAAGGTGTTTGCTCTATGGCTTCTTCTCAACACAGGAATTTTCTGTTCCCTGCGAAGCAGGCATGGAAAGATTGTCGTTTGTCCGTCGCAATTCCTGGTGACTCATCAACCAACAAAAGAGATCCTAAGGGGGCCTTGTTATGCCAGTTTACAGAAGATTATAGGTTTGTCACGGTTGCGTCAGGACAAAAAAAAAATTGTTAACTCATAGATCACATGCATATTAAATTTAGAGTGATTCAAAATTTCACAGATTGTAATTTAAACCAGATAAAAAAGAAACATTCAATTGCAGAAACAAACAACATCTTTTTGTGCAGTATGCTCAATTTATTCTCTGCATTTAAGAGCGGTTTAACAGAACTTTACAAAAATAAGCTAAATTGATTTTCTGGTTGAAAGTTCCTGTATCTAAATTCACAGTAAAATAGATTACTAGAAGCTCCAATCTAAGCAGTCAGCAGCCTCATTGGCTGGTAGCCTAATGTCGTTAAATTTTCAGAGAACATAAAACGTTTGCAGAACGGGCGCTTAATTCAAAGAACCACAGTTTTTTTTTTAATCTCAAACGACAGTTCACTTACTATTTACAAAATTTAATTAAAAAGAATCGTTATTCGTTAACTTCTACCACGTCATCAAATTTTCTTATAATCACTTCTCCTTCCCTCCTCAACCAAACCATGTCCACTCACTTCCATGGCCTCAGCTGTAACCCCTCCTCCACTCCTTTCCACGACCAATGCCATAACCCGCCGCTCTCTCCTCCTCTCTACTTCGCTCTCTTCTCTCTCTACCGTTCCCATGCCACTTGACACTACCATAACCGACCGAGTCTTCATGGACTTCTCTCTCTGCCCTACCTATTACCGCCCTGACCGTACTCTCTCCGACACTATCGCCACACTCTGCACCGAATCGGCCCCTCTCGGCCGCGTCGTCCTCGGCCTGTACGGCCATCTCGTCCCTCTCACCGTCTCTAATTTCAAGACCATGTGCACCACCGCTTCGTACAAGAACACTCTGGTTCATAAAATTTTCCCAGGTCAATTTTTCCTGGCGGGACGGCAAGGAAGGAGAGACAAAGGCGAGGTGAGGCCGCCGTCGCAATTGGTGAGAAATACAGAGACTGTTGATTCTAGGGCTTTTAAGCTTTCGCATTCAAGGCCAGGGATTGTGTCGCTGTGTTTATCGGAAAATGATGATGAAGATGACATTAAGCTTGATCCTAATTATAGGAATGTGGAGTTTTTGATCACTACAGGGCCTGCTCCTTGTCCACAGTTAGATAACAAGAACATTGTGTTTGGAACTGTGCTTGAAGGTGAGTTTTATTGGTTCATTTAACAATTTGTTTCAATTAATTTAATTTTGACTGGTAATCCGTAATTTAGTGGTGATTGATTAAGTGATATAGTTATAGATTAGATATTACAAGATTTTATTGCTAGTTTAAGCCAACTGCCTGATCTGATCAAGCTGAATTTAGGTTAATTGGTCTTCTAAATTATTAGTCTTGTCGAGCACAAACCCTGAACGAGATTAGTCTTATGTTCAAAAGGTGTAGGGATTGTGATGGTAGCATAGGGATCAAAATTACTAGTTTTGAAATGGTGTTGACCAAAGTGTATATTGAGGCAAAATTCACCTGATGTTTTGTATTTAACCCTTTTTGTTGGACTTTTTATTCTATTGTCTTGCATCTTAATTTATTCTCATTTGTTAGATAACAAGGTATTAGATTCTAATTGCTAGTGCTAATATAAGTGTGTATCCATTATGTCATAGACTCATGGTCGAGTCATTTTAATCTTTTCACTAATAAGTGTTCCTACTTCCTCCAATGAACTTCGCCATCTAACTTAATTAGAGTTGTCTTCTTTTAAATCACTATGTTGATTAATTTGCACAAACTAGTATCTGAATATGAACTTGCATAGTATTAGCATACATGCGCCTGATTGGATGAGCGGAAGGGTGACAGTTGAGTATTTATTGTTGATTTCGTCTGTTTTATAAACATGACATGATGGTCGAAGGTACATTTCACAATTATAATTGAAATACTGAAATTCAGAAGTTTAATCGTCAGTAGCTTATCGCAACCACTATCTTCAGTGCACACATTTTATCGGTATTGCGATTCTAACAAGGAGTGGGATTTGGGGAGGGTTTTTCCAGGTACAAGAGGGAAGAGGCTGTCGAGATTTGTATGCTTAATCTATTGTAATAGAAATTCTGTAATTGTACTACTACACAAATTATATTGATTTCATGTTCCGTCCAATAAAAAAAAAAAAAAATAGTGAGAAGCTGTTCTTATGCAGTATCTGTTAGTACTTTACTGACCTTTTATTTGAATCCAATTGCAGGTTTGGATGTTGTAACATCCATAGCATCAATTCCTACATACAAACCATCAGAAAGAATTCGGCAATTCAATGATTTGGCAGAGTTTTTTGGAGATGAAAGAGCACAAAATGCTCGAGCAATTTGGAACAGACCTCTAAAAACTGTTTACATCAGTGACTGTGGAGAGCTCAAAGTCACAAAGCCATCTCTTTCTCCTCCTAGCCTGCCTTAAAATTCCACTATTCATCAACTGAGGTTCCTTTATTCTGATACCTTCTTGTCTATTGAGCTTTAAAATTTTATCTTCTTTAAAAGAATTAAAAAGAGTTTTTACTATGTGTAAATAAGGAGGAATGAAAATTCAATATCAAGGTTCAATACATTGAAGTTCTTAATTTATTTCCTCTCTTGAATATTTCTTTTCTTCCCACTTTTAGCTCGAAGGAATGAGGTTAATGACCAAAACAAGACCCCTTTTTGAAAACTTAAAATTACATCTAAACCTTTCAAAATAGGTTTGTTAGCATACAATAATAAATAATATTAAAATAATGATATTATATTCTTAATTAAGTTCAAATTAACATATGATACAAGATGCATAATCTTTATCTTAGTACAATTGTCCTAAGTCCACTATATATACTCAAAATTACCCCATTAAAGGGTTAGTTTACAATTTACGACGCCTTAAATTTAAGAGTTTAACAAGGTTATTTTATCTTATTATCCTTTAAAGATTTGTTATAATTGTATCTATTTGATTAAAATTATACCATCATCTTTTACAATCGATGCGAGGTTGTTGGAAAGTTATGATAAAATTGAGTTTGGAGATGATTGATTATCCTGATCAAATGGGCACGATTGTAACAAATCTTTAAAAGTTAGGGTAAGATAATATATTTTAGAAGGTTGGTTCAAGTATAATTGCAATATTTTGAAAGGATTTGGATTACAACTACTACAAAAAGGTTACTATAATCTAACAATTATACCTAAAAATTTAAATCAATATATATATATATATAAAGCAAGCATTTTGTCCTTAGAAAGTTGACATGTGGCATATTCACTTAGTATTTTAATTTGATATGTGGCATATTTTTCCAATTAGACTTTCACTTAGCATGGTTTGATTTGATTATTTAATATATTAACATATTGGTTTAGTTTGATTTGGTTTGAATTTATTTTGAATTAAGGTTTTTGATTTGGTTTGATTTGATTATTCAATGTATTAATATATTGGTTTGGTTTGATTTAATTATTCAATGTATTAATATATTAGTTTGGTTTGATTTAATTATTCAATGTATTAATATATTAGTTTGGTTATGATTTCTTTTGACTTAGTGTTTTTCGTTTGGTTTGATTTTGTTTATTTAATTTATTAATCGCTTTAAGTAATTATTATTAATTATTAGTTTTTTAAAAATAATAAAGTGTAATAACAATGAATTATTTAATTAATGTATTAATATATTATACTTTGTGATAAATGTTTACTCTCAAATTTGTAAAGTAATAAATGTTTCCTCCAACAGCCGTTTCCTATATTTAATGTATCTTTAAAGTTTTTTATCTAAACACTTCTATTTATTTATTTTTTAAAATAGTGTAGTAATGCGTTTTTTTATTTTAAATTATTTACTCTCAAGAAATACTTTAGCTTTCTTAGAAATACTATATATAAGTTGTATCATTGTATTATTACTCAAACTTTTTTTTGTCTCCTTTTCTAAAGATTATTTAATATGTTTTTACAATAGTAAACTATCAAATCAATATATATATATATCAAACTTTTTTTTGTCTCCTTCTTCTTAAAGATAATTTAATATGTTTTACATTAGTAAACTTATTCAAATCAATATATATATTATATATTATAAAGGCAGGCAGAATTTTTCGTTGATTGTTGTTATGTAGGATTTTTCAAATTACATGATATGTGATATGACTCAATTGTTTGTTTTTATATTTATTTGAAAATAAATTATTTATAAATTGAATTTAACCGTATTAAATGTAGTTTGAATTAATATAAAGTTAGAGAATTAATAGTTGTTAAGTAACAATTTTATATAACTTTTAAACTATAAATAAAAATTTAACATAATTAATAAATATTTTAAAATTATTGCCAATTATTATTTATATTAAAAAAATTAAATTTTTTATTAAATTAATTATGTTAATATTAATGATTAAACTATGGGTACTAATAACAATAATAAGTCAAGATTTATACAAACTTTTAGTTATTTAAATAATTATTTATTCATGGATATATAATAGGATTTATAAGTTAATTATTTTTTTACATTTAATTTTAATTTTAAATCAAACAATGAAATTATAATCACCTTTTCATTTTACTTTTTTTATTTATCTCTATAAAACATGTTTATCTATTTAATTTTTATTTAATAATAAAAAATTACGAACTATATTTTTTTTCTATGATATATCTTTATAATATTTTTGATAGCATAATAAAGAAATTCATTTCAAGAATCTATATATATAATAATATATACTCTCAAAATTTACATTTTTATTTTTTTAACGTGCATAATAGGGTATATTTCTAGTTATTAAATATATTAAATATAGAAAATCATTAACAATTTTGGTTACTATGAGCCAAATAAGAAAATGAAATTTCAATTCTAAAGATTTACACCACTTTATCTTTAAAACGAACCAAATAATATTTAAAATTTCAATCACATTCCTAAAAGGCTAAAATCTTTCTTCAACCAAAGCAATTTGCAAAATTGCCAATAAGTGGCAAAAGGATGCCCGGCCCATCTTCCAGTATATATTCCAATTTTTTCCAAAGCAAAATGGACTTGAGTTGAGCTATAGATTTGTTATTAATTTACTTGGATTAAATTAAATTGATTTAATTAATTGCCTTAATATTTGAATAAAAAATTTCCTTCATTTTTCATATTCATAATAAATTATATAAATGATTTCAGAGGCCGTTACCTTATCTAACGGAAAGGAGATATCATGCCAGTTAAATTATAGATTGAAACTTACACTATTACAGATTAACCCCTAGATATTACAAAATAGTCCTCGGTAAAATACATGGGTCTATCAATTGTGTTAGAGTTTCATATAAATGAACTAAAATTTAATCATAATGAAATTGGAGACATATTAATTGTTAAAATCGTATAAATTCAAATAACAATTTAGGTTTATGCTCATTTAAAAAATAGCGTACACTTTTGTCATTAAAAGCAAAAAAAGGAAAATCTGAAGTTAAATTCTGATCGTCGACGGGACTATTAGACGTCATGGTGGACCAGACCTTAGCTAATCTGGCCCCACAACCTTCTTAATGGGGACCATTTCTCTGTCATGTTTCTTATTAGACAAAGAAATAGGAGGCAAAATGGACCAATGGAGAGTCAAATCCTAAAGTGGTCCCATTTTTTTGCAAAAAGTGATTACAGCTGGAAGGGAATTTCTCATTTCGTCGAATTCGAATTCATAGAGTTAGTGTGTCCCCACAAAAGTGGTCATAAACCTTCAACGGACACACGTAATTCTTCGTCAACAATAATACATGTTGCTGTCCGATCCGGCAAGTGGCCAAGAATGTAGCCTGCCAGCCTGTGCAAAATAGCTAGACCAACCAACGTTTACACTTAGGCCTTTTCTCATTTTTATTGTTCTTAATTTTGTTCTTATTGACCGTGTGATATTCTCAAATTTTATTTTATTTTATTTTATGGTTAAAAACCGGTTATAATATAAAATTTGATGCTTTCCTCATATTTATGTTTTATTTACATAAAATTATATAACAATATTTACAAATTATTTTTTACTATTTAAAGATTAAACAGTAAATTTAATATTAAATTATTTTAATTTTATTTATTAAAAGAATTAATATTCTTCTACTTAATTCTCGTTAAAATATTAAATAAATTTATTAGTTTTAAATCTAAACACATGAACAATTTTTTATTAAATGCCTTCTCATTAATAATGTCAAACTCTTGGATCGTTGGCATCACTAGAGTCAAAGTTGCATGAAACAAAAAATAATGTCTTTACTTTTAAATTTTTATATTATATTTGTATACAAAAATTTAATTAGTGAGATTAGAGTGAGAAAGCATCTTTAACAAATTATCTCTTCATCCTTTTTTGAGCAATATAAAAAAAAATTGGCTTTGATGGAACTAATATTTTTTTTTTTTTTTAAACTAAAACTTGAAGTACAATGCAAAAACCGCCTTTCGAAATTATAACTAAACTTCTCGTAATATATGTATATTATTTTAAGTTATAATTATGGTAATTTTGACCTGTGACGAACAGTTTATGATGGTCTTTATATAATATTCGTACGTATCTTATGTATGATTGTGCAGCTCTCCATCAAGCAGTAGTCCACTCATAGAGCCGTGGCTCTTAACGCACGTACTCGCAAGCTCTTTATGTAATAATCAGATTCTCATAATCAAAAATAATATATTGTAACAATTATACGGATTCGTGAGAATGCAAAATATGATACTGATTTTTTGCTATGAAGCTCAATAAGATAATAGTATAGATTAGGCATAGATATATATATCCTCCTGAGGTCTTGATAAATATATTATCTCACCTCCACCTGTTTCATGAGATCTAAATAAGAGCTGTCTATACGTGATTGCTCCAATGTCTGTAGTGGTAAGAATATACCTGTTTTTTACTAATACTATATAAATATTCTACTTTGTATAATAAAATGATGACGTCCCTCATCGTCTTCATTATATGTTGTTTACCACATGATTCATCTCACTAAAGTACATACTCACTCGCCACCTTTTATATGTAATATAGGATCGTTCACAGGTTTTAGTGCATCTGTTATTGTACTTATTAAATAATTGGAAAATCCTATATCTATTCTCTCATAGAGTTTCACTCACAGATCTGTGAGTGCTCTCTCACGAATCGAATTCTTAGTCGCTTCATTTCATCCAGGTGAAAGATGCTCTGTATTTCATCCATTTATATAAACATATGGATTCTCATCTTCGAACAAGTCTGAATACCTGGGTAAAGATTAACTAATAAGAAAGATGCTAATGCTTACTATAAGTCCTGATAATTATAGCCAATATTAAAGCGATGAGTAAACTCAAGTAGCAATCAGTGTAACGTAATCAATATGGTTATCTCCAGTAAGCAGTGGTTTATACAAGTTCTCTCTCGTCACAGAGCGCGTAGCCAGATATAGATCGTGCTCGATAACGCGCTAGTCTTCTAATACGTATCAGCGTCGCCAAGTGTGAAATAGAAAATATAATAAGAATAGACAATAATATAAATTTGACGATATCAAGACTCACTCGCGCTTATTCATTTCCCCA